TCCTGTGGGTCCTGCAAAGGTGACTTCACAGGGGACTCCTGGGTCTCCCTGGGAAGAACAGATTTCAGGAGTGGACTGCAGGTGGGTGGGGATGGGAACATGAGCCATCAGGTTGGGGGGTAGGGGAGAGAGTACTGAAAGGGACTCTGGAAAAGGGGGTGCACAAGGAAAACTGCCAGGAATCTACCCCCCAGCCAATACTTCTAGCAATAGCAGATATGTAGCCCAAACTGGTCATTCCTGTGACCAATCAAGACTTCAAGGGGATGTATTATGACACCAACCCAGTCATGTAACCTTTCGACCTACAGCCTGTCCTGCCTATGGAATGTGCTGGGTGTAAGGGTGGCCTAGAGATTGAGGGAGTGGCCAACGCATCGAGGAGAATAAGCCCACCCCTGACACTGTCTGGAGCACTAGGACCCCACTGTTCTTTTAAGAATGCACAGAGAGGTCACCAGCAAAGTTTGTAACAGAGGGGCTGTTGCGGGGAAGTAAAGAACTTAGGTGTTTATCAGTAAGAAAATGGGATAAAAAGGCAGAGAATACATACAGACGTAAAAATAAATGAGGTAAACTGGGCACACCTGTAATCCCAGCACTCAGGATAAAGAGGCAATGGAGTTTGAGGCCAGCCTAGTCTGAATTCTGAGACCCTGTCTCAAAAACAACAACAACAACAAAAGAGTATCTTATGAATATAAAGGATATGTACTATACAGTAGTCAAAAGCATAAGGAGTAGAAAAGTATATGTAATATGAATTAATTTATGCAAATATATGTGTATGTTCATATAGTCATAGACTAACATGGAAAAAGACAAATATTAGCCATAGCCACCATTTATTTACAACTTAAATTACACAAGGACAATGATTGTTTTACCTATGGCTTTATACCTCTATTTATCTAAGTTAAAAAGTGTTCATGAACATAGGACAAATTATGTACTTTAGATCCAGAGATAAAGCCTAGAGGGAACACATAAGAATCTTTAAATGTATTTAATGTTTTATCTCAGTAAAATACCTCTGTAGTATTCTTTATGAATATTTAAACATAAAAAAGTTAAAGAGGAAAACTAACACTAATACTCACTAGCCCCGGAAAATCTCTTAGAATAATCAATACAATGATGACTCACAGCCTTTTTTACTATGAAAGCTTTGGTGAGTGGGAACTAGCATTTTGTAAGAGACAAGATCTACTTGGCGGAACATCCCTGTTCAGTCTAAAAGAGACAGCTGTGCTCTTGGGCACAGGTCTATCTGCTGTCAAGCCTCGGCTGAGGTTTTATTAAATTAGTGGTGTTCTTATGCTAAGCTGAGAAAGAACACTGCAGACCTTTCCTCACTTGCCTTGCAAATGTCTCTCACCAAGATTGCCAGATCGCTTGTAAGTCATAGGTCTCCAACAAAACACTACCGGCAGATCTCATTTGAAAGTCGGTACTGAGACAGAAATCAAAATGTTAAAAATTTCCCGGTGAGCAGCAGGCTGGGTTCCTGAAGTTGCAGGCAGAATGAGACACCCCTACCCACCTACAAACCCCTACACAAAGATTAGTCACCTAGACTAATGGTTTCCTGTCTTAGTTAGGGTGTCTATTGCTACGACAGAACACCATGACCAAAGAGCAAGTTGGGGAGGAAAGGGTTTATTCAGCTTATACTTCCATACTGGAGGATCATCACTGAAGCCAGGACAGGAACTCGAAGAGGGCAGGAACCCAGAAGCAGGAGCTGATGCAGAGGCCATGGAGAGGAGCTGCTTACTGGCTTGCTTCCCATGGTTTGATCAGTCTGCTTTCTTATTGAACCTAGGACTACTAGCCCAGGAATGGGACCACCCACAATGGGCTGGCTCCTCCACCATCAATAATTAAGAAATTGCTGTACAGCTGGATATTATAGAGGCATTTCCCCCAAGGTCCCCTTCATTCAGATAACTCTAGTTTGTGTCAAATTGGCATAAGACTAACCAGCACAGCTGACACCTCGTCAACATGACACAAACATGTAGCGGCTATTAAGCTACAACTTTTCCTTATTTATCCCAAGACCTCACATTGAAAACATCAAGTTACTTTAAAAGTCCCAGTCTTTATAAATTCAAGCACATTAAAATTTCAGTCTCTTTAAAATATCCAATCGCTCTAAAAATCCCAAATCTCTTTTGAAATTCCAAAGTCCTTCAGCTGTGGGTTCCTGTAAAAATCAAAGTTAAATTAGATACCTCCTTCACGTGGGGAGAACCAGGGCACAGTCACAATGTGAACGAAGCAAAACCAAACTCCAGCAGTAGAAGTAACTCCATGTCCACTTACCTGGGATTCGCTCCCGATCTGGGCCCTCCAAGGAGCCCGAGTCACTTCCCCAGCTCTGCCCCTGCAGCACACACGTCTCATCTTCTAGGTTCCAGCTGGCTCCACTCCACTGCTGCTGTTCTTGGTGATCACCCCCTGGTACTGGCGTCGCTAAAACGCTGGCGCTCCTTCCTGCAACTGGGCTGCGCTTTCACCAATAGCCTCTCCCAGGCTCTCTTCATGGTGCCAGCTTCTTTGCATGATCCTTTCAGTCCCGGGCCTTCAGCTGCCACTGAGGCTGCACCTTCATCGAAGCCTCTCCAGGCCCCTCACAGTGCCAAGCCTCAGCTGCTCTCCATGACCCCTTCGTGCCTTCAAAACCAGGACCACCCGGGTGAGTCTCACAGCACCAACTTCAGCTGCCAGCAAGCGATAACCTCAGCCAGTTCTGAAACACAGCTCCTGTGTGTGCTGATCTTGAGGAAACACTTCCCCGAAGATTCCACCTCAGTGATGCTGGTCTCGTCTATCACTGCTAATGTCTTAGCTCCAGCTGACCAGCATCAATTGTCCCAGTAAAGCAAAGGCTTTGCTTCGATGGTGCCGGGCTCTTGCTAATCACGGCTGACTCTGTGGCCCCAGCTAACCGGAGGGATAGAATCTCACATGAAAATAGCAAACAGCCCTGATAGAGTCTTTAAATTTCTCTTTTGGACTTCACACAAGCCAGGCCTCCATCTGACTGCTCTCTCAGCATTCTTCCAAATTCTCACTGAACTCTTAGCACTCAATGGCTTTTCTAGCCCAAACTTCCAAAGTCCTCCCACAATCCTCCTCAAATCCAGCCCATGGTCAGGTCTGTCACAGCAATACCCCACTGTATTGTGTTACCCTGCTCGGACACCTCTTGTGGGTGAGAAGACTCAGTATCAATGACTCTAGCACCGGAAGTCAGTAGGTAGCAGAGCAAGCTGCAGACTCGTTTATTATGGAAGTTAGGTCTGCCTTTATATCCCCTCCCAAGGTCCTATTGGCTCAGGTGGCTGCCTCTGCTGAGTTGTCCTTTCCTCATTGGTGTCTCTGGGTTCTGTCAGAAGTCTCTGGGCTTTGAAGCAGGCTTGGCGGCTTGGCTAAGGGAGGAAGTACCTGCTGCGCATGCTCTTGATGGCTGGCCTGGGCAACGGAGGCAGGGCAATTGTAGCTTGTGTAGGCTGGCAGCAGTTTCTTCTGCACCCCACTACACTGGTACCAACTTGTTTTAGTTAGAGTTTCTATTGGTGCGACAAAACACCATGACCAAAAAGCAAGTTGGGAAGGCAAAGGTTTATTTAGTTTACACTTCCATTATCAAAGTTCATCATTGAAGGAAGTCAGGACAGGAACTCAAACAAAACAGGAACCTGTAGCAGGAGCTGATGCAGAGGACCCGGAGATATAGCTTTCTGACTTGCTTTCCATGGCTTGCTCAGTCTGCTTTTTTTTTCCGGGGTGGAGGGGGCATGAGTGCTTTGTTTGTGTGTACGCTACATGTCAGAAGAGGGCATCAGATCCCATTATAGATGATTGTGGCTGCTGGGAACTGAACTTAGGACTTCTGGAAGAGCAGCCAGCCAGTCTTCTTAACTGCTGAGCCATCTTGTCAGCTCCCTCAGTCTGCTTTCTAATAGAACCCAGGACCACCAGTCCAGGGTTGGCACCACCCGTAATGGACTGGGCCCTCCCCCACCAGTAACCAACTAAGAAAATGTGTTACAGCTGGATCTTATAGACACATTTTCTCAGTTAAGGTTCTTTCCACTCAGCTAATTCTAGTTTGTGTGTCAAGTTGACCTAAGACCAGCCAGCCCACTTCCTTAAAGGAGATGGCTTGGTGACTGTCTTAGAGTTTTTATTGCTCTGAAGAGACATCATGGCCACAGCAACTCTTTTAAAGGAAAATATTTAATTGGGGTTGGCTTACAGATTCAGAAGTTCAGTCCATTGTCATCATGGTTTGAAGTATGGCAGCATGCAGGCTGACAGGGGGCTGGAGAGGTAGCTGACAATTCTACATCCTGATTGGCAGGCAGTAGGAAGAGAAAGGATTGGGCTGTTGAAACCCCTAGTCCCACTTCCAGTGACACACTTCGTCCAAAAAAGGCATTCCCACCCCGCCAAGGCCACACCTCCAAATGCCACTCCCTAAGCATTCAGATATGAGTCTATCCAGGCCATTCTCAAGTAAATCCACCACAGTGACTGTTCACAAATTGTCACTTTCGTCTTCAATCAGAAACTTAGACATGCTTAAAATAGAAATATCTAAAAAGTAGTGCTTGCTTTGGATGTGTTCACTGTGACCCTCTTCTTTCTCCCTGCAGGAAACTAACCCCATCTCTAGTGTGCCCAGACCTGTGCTGTCTGTCTAGTACAGGGGTTATTAACCACATATGACCACGGAGCCCTTGAAATGTGACTCATTTAAATGAAAACATGCTCTAAATGTAAAATACACAACAAAGCTTAATAATGAGTCCGGAAATGTAAAGTACCTTACTAACAGTTATATGTTGATGTCTTGCCTAGTTTTATGTCAACTTGACACAAGTTGGAGTCTTTAGAGAGGAGGAGCCTTAATTGAGAAAATGCCCTGATAGTATTGGGCTGTAAGCAAGCCTCTGGAGCATTTCTTTAATTAGTGATTGATGTGAGAGGGATCAGCCCAGTTGTGGGTGGGGCTATCCCCAAGCTGGTGGTTCTGGATTCTATAAGAAAACAGGCTAAGAAGGACCAGTCCCTTCATGAACTCCAGCAGGTCCTATAAGGGGAAGATGTTAGGGTGAGCCAGCCCAAGGTCCAGCTGTGGGCCTAGGCGGTAGCTGACCTGGTCAGGCCCTGCCACTGGGACCATTTCCTTCAGGTGAGGAAGCTATGAATTATAATTTTATAGCCCTCTCCCCTTAGGCATGTAAGCCAGATGAACTGGACAAACTTATGAAAGTTTGATGCAGGAAGGCCTGCCCACAGTGGGTGACACCATTTCCTGGGCAGCAGATGTTGGATTATATGAGTGGAATCAGTGAGCTGAGTGGTATTGTGCACGAATTAATCCATAGTTCTCTACTCTTGACTACAGCTGCAATGTAATGGCTTGCTTCATGTTCCTGCCACTCGAAGTTTCCTGAAATGATGGACTGAAACCGCAGGTTGTGAGCCTAATAAACATTCTTCCTTAATGTGCTTACATCAGGCTACATGAAACTCAACAAAGACATACCTGTGCGATGGTCAGATCCTTGAATCAGGCTACTGGAAACTCAACAAAGACATACCCGTGGGAAGGTCAGATCCCAAAGCCACCTCCAGGTGACAGGACATCGAAAAGACAAATATCACCCGAGTGCTATTGAAAGCAGGTGCATGCATCAGATGCCCCGCCACACCTACAGATAATGGGATTAAGGCAAGCATTGCTTTATATTTGGTTGCACATGCCACCTGTTCATAGGACGTTTACTCAGTGCGCCACAGCTGAATGACCATAAATGATCTGTGCTTCCTCACTTCCTCTTGAACCGACTAGCAGTGGGAATATGACGCTCCCAGGAGGCAGAGATCCAAGAGACCCTCAGGAGTTTGGTCGCAGCCTGGAAGACGGTAGGAGGACATGTCTGCCTCCATACCTTCCCAAGTCTATATTTCCAAGGAAAGTGAAGGCAATAGGGGTTCTCCAGTACTGACTGACAGACATTCTCAGCATGAGGAAAGACTGTTAGACCACAGATGTGTGGCCTTCAGCTTGCTTCTCAGACTTTCTTCTCCTACTCTACTTTCTCCCTTGCCAATTTAAGACAAGATCCCTTTTCTCTATGCAACAGGAGAGCAGGGTGAACTAATGCCTGAGACATCAGATGGAGCTAGAAACTCAGAGTGGGTGGCCGTGGCTTTGAGGCTCCTAGACATGAGAAAGGGTCAAACGAAGGGAAGAACTGTCAGGAAGAGAGAGAGGACTTAAAACATGTCCTTTCCAGGAAAATAACATGATCTGTCTTTGGATAGCATTGAATTTATAGTTTTAGAGTATTGTTTTGTAGCTGTATTTTGATATTAAACATATAAGCAATTATCTGACTTAAAATGTTTATATATTTGGCTTTATATATGTGTGCTACTCCTTAAAATTTTAATTTAAAAATTCTGGTGTTCACAGAATTATTTGCTCATCTTTTCCACTTTTTAAATTGAGATATGACTTATAATAAAATGAAACTTAAACTTTAGTATATATTCCTTCGAATTTTGACAAACTTATAAACAAAAGCCACCAGAATAATTAAGTTTGGAAGATCCCACAACTGAAATATCTACTATCCCACTACATAATGAACTCACAGATCATCCACAGTTCCTGGAAAACACTGATATGTTTTCTGTCTCCTTGTGAAAAAAAAGTTATATTTATGCCATTAAACATTATGGAGACTTCTAACAAAGCAGCAAACCAACTGCTGTGGGAGTGTAAATGATACACAAAAGTTGCACAATTTGCTAAGTTTTTGAGTGGGTATTTATGTGTGAAACCATTGTCACAATAAAAATAATGAATATGTCCGTCCCTCATCCTCAAAGGGTTCCTCTTGTCCCTTTGTAATTTCACCAGCCTTACCTGCTCAGGCTCCATCCCGTGGCAGCCTTTAACCTGCTCTCTATCCTCATAGTTGGCATTTTCTAGAAGTTTCCATAAATTCTGTACTCTTTGTCTGGTTTACACTCAGTATAGTAATTTTGTTATCCACATGTTACTGGTGAATTAGGGGTGTGTGGATTCTTTGTCTCCTTATAAAGGAATCTAAAGACAGATTCAGAAGAAAAGTCTAGGATCATTTTATTAGTTTTCAAGAAAAACAACAGGTCAGGCAAGTGTAAATCTAGGTGGCTACCGGGAGGAAGATGAGGAATACGGAGAAAGAGCCTTTCCCAGGCCAGCCCAGCAGAGGTCTGCAGTGGCTGCAAGGTAGAGGGCCGAGGAATAGAGAGAGTCCTGGAAAGCATGGCTTTAACTCTCAGCTGAATCTGAAAGAGAAAGGCAGAAAAGGAAAAGGCAGACTTCTTATTTCCAGGGGATAAGCAACAGCAAGTCCTTTGAGAAATGGTTTCTCCCTCTACTGTTCTCCAGGATGTGTTTTCACTCTTGGCTGTTTAGCTCTCCTCCCTCTCCGGGTCACAGAGCCTTGGGGCCAGCCTGACTCAGAAAGGGGTAGGGTAGGGAGGACACTTGATATAAACCAGCTTGAGTCTGAGACAAGACAATGCTCCTTACTCCGGGAGTCTACTTACAACACATTCAAACAGCGTATGACACAGTATAGGGACTCCTTTTCAGAATGCCCTTTGTACTCTTTGATATTTCAAGGTTTGCTCTTTAACTTGGATATTTCCCCACCATCCTGTCTCAGATTCCTATTGGGAAGTGGGTTTTCATTTATTTATTTGTGTCTGTGGCATGCTCTAGTGTTGTGCATGTGCGCTCAAATATATGTAAAGTCCATAGTATCTTGGTCTCTAACTTAATAGTTTGTGAGAGAGGGTCTCTTACTGAATCCAGAGCTCACTGGCTAGACTGACTGACCCATGAGCTCTGGGATCCTGTTGTCTTTGACTCTACCCTCCATGCCAGATGTATGTCACCATGTCCTTCTTTTTACATGGATAATAGGAATCAAACGCAGGTCATAATGCAGACTTCACTGACTGGGCTATATCCTCAGCCTCATGATTTCCTCTCTCCCGTCCTCTTCTCTCCCTCCTCCCCTCCCTACCTCTTCTTCTCTTCCTTTCCTCTCCTCCTCCCTCTCTTCCCCCTCTTCTCTTTCTCTCTTTATCTGTCCACACTCAAGAACGTGTGTCAATATTCACATGTATGCAAGTGTGTGCTTTTTGCATTTGGAGTCAGAGGCTAACCTTGGGTGTCATCCTGCAGGCTCCATGCTCTAGTTTGCTTTCTGTTGCTGTGATAAACACCACAACCAAAGGCAACTTGGGAAGGAAAGGGTTTATTTCACCTTACAGGCTACAGTCTATCACTGAGAGAACCCAAGGCAAGAACCCAAGGCAGACGCTTGCAGCAGAAATACTGAAAGAATGCTGTTCACTGGCTCACTCTCTGTCAGTCATGTTCAGCCTGCTTCCTCACACCTGCCTTCCTTCTCAGGGGCAGCACTACCCACAGTGGGCTTGGGCCTCCTACATCAACTAGTAATCAAGAAAATGCATGACAGATGTGTGCAGATGATGCCGGTGATGGTAATTCCTCAACTGAGGTTCCCTATTCCCAGTTGACTCTAGTTTGTGGCAAGTAGGCCATGAAAACTAACCAATATGCCATCCACTCTGTCTTTAGAGACAGGGTATCTTGATTGAACTTGATGATTAGTGGTCTGGCTGGGCAGTGAACTGCTTTCCCCAGTACTGGGATTGAAGTGTACACCATCCCCAGGCCTGGGTTTTATGTGGACATTGGGGATCTGAACTCAGGTCCTTAGTCTTGCCCGGCAAGCACTTTACCGAACTGAACCATCTTGGCCTAGAAACAGGTTTTTCTTGGTTGCAATTTTCCTGAACTTCTCTTGAACTCTTCCCAGAATCCTCTGCCTGCAGCTGTTGGGCCTTGACTTGTCAAAGACTCTTGAGAGTAGCAGGCAGAGCCTGTAGAATGATGATATTTTCTTACACAAGAAGGACAGTTCAGTCTTGGTTTGGCTTATGCAAATCTGCATCCAACATGTCTCCCTTTTAAAAACATGAATTCACTTCTTTTCCATACCTGACTTTTGTTGTTGTTTTCCTTTTCTACTCCTGTTGCATTAGAGGCCTTTGTACAAGCTGTTCTCTCAGCCGGGAGTCTGGCAGCCCCAGAGACTCTCTGTGCTGTTCCTCAAGTTCAGATCATGTCTTCCTCTGAGGCAGCAAGGCATACATCTAAATTTTTCTCAAAAATATTCTCTTGCTTTTTGATGCCCTGCTCTATCATGCTGTGCTGCTTTGCACAACTGGTTAATTCCATATTTTCTTACCTTTATATTTATTTTCTCTGCCAAATATTTACCTCCTTCCCTTTTAACTTATTACAATTCCACTGCCACCTCCTTCTAAGGGCCCTTCTTGGTTTGTCCCATCTGAACTAATCATATATCCTGTCATGATTATTACAATTCTTTTTTCCTTCTTCATGTATAAATGTATACATGTATGCATTCATATGAATGTTTGCAAGAGTGTGTGTGTTCATGTGGAGACCCAAGGTTGAGATTGTCAGTCTTATCTGATGATTCCTCATCTTATTCATGAGAAAGGGTATCTCAGTTGAACACAGTTTTCCAATGCAGAATGTCTGGCTTGCTTCAGGGATCCTCTGTATCTTCAGAATGTCTGGCTTGCTTCAGGGATCCTCTATATCAGTGGTTTTCAACCTTCCTAATGCTGTGACCCTTTAACATCAATGCACAACCATAACAGTATTTCATTGCTACTGCATTACTGTAATTTTGTTGTTATGGACTGTAATGTAAATATCTTATATACGACCCCAAGGGGGCCACAACCTACAGATTGAGAACCACTGTTCTAGGACGGGTGGTGGTGGCACACGCCTTTAATCCCAGCACTTGGGAGGCAGAGGCAGGAGGATCTCTGTGAGTTCGAGGCCGGGCTGGACCGACAGCCTCCAAAACAACACAGAGAAACCCTGTCTCGTAAAACCAAAGAGAGAGAGAGAGAGAGAGAGAGAGAGAGAGAGAGAGAGAGAGAGAGAGAGAGAGAGAGAGAGAGAGAGAGAGAACCACTGCTCTATATTCCCCTTCTAAGCCCTAGGATCCAGGTGAGCTGTCATAACCACATGGCATTTACGTTGGTAATCACATTGCCTATATGGGTCAAAAAGCCAAGGAAAAGAAGGGAACTGTAGCAGGCAAGAGTGCCTGCATTTTACAAGGACTGTCCATGACACAGGAGCAAAGTCATTAGGCACACATAAGAAAGGAAGGCCCTGTCTGCCCTTGACTCCCAACAAAGAAGGCAGATAGCCCATCCCACAAGGATTGAAGCTTAGAGCTTCAATGCTAGGCAGAGATTTTCATCACCAGAAGCACTTACATTAGTACCATCTATACTCTGTTTCCAAGTCTGCTCTACCACTTCAAGCAGCCTGAGAAATAAGTGTTGTCATTTTCTAGACCCCTGACCCTAGCTGGGGCTGGGAATACTAGAATGCATAAGGCTTTGGAGTTGAACCAAAGTACTGCCCGATTTCATGCCCTGGAGTGGGGATGAGTACCCTTATACCTCTTAAACTTTACTTTGGCATAGATAAAATATTGTGATCTATCTGTATCGATGTGATCTCCAAAGGACACATTTTGAACACTAGGAAAAGTATAAGAGTATGAGAGAAGATAGAATCATATCCATAACTGTGCTGCCCTAAGAGACACACACTGATTTCTATGCAGGTTGTGGGTCCCTTGATGTCACACCCTCGTTCCGGCCTGTGAGGGTAGGGAGCTTGACTCTTGATTTCAGGCCATCAAGGTTCAAGCATTTATATATGTGTGAATCGCCACGCACTGAGGAAATAAAACTAAAAACTAACACCTCTGAAACACAATTCTTCATTGTCCTAAGTAAAGTTAGTAAAGGAGGCTTCAAATCTAGACTTCAAAATCCTCCCGCCACCCTGCCTAAAATTTCAATGCGCAAAAAAATTTCTTCTGAGGTAACTTTCCAACGCTGGCACCTTCTCTTGAATTCCCAGTGTCGGGTATGCAAATTGCTCTAGTTGTATGCTGTGCTGACTCTTCTTGGCTGTCAGCTTGACTACATTTGGAATTAACTAAAACCCAAACAATTGGGTACATCTATGAGGGATTCTTCTTAACTGAACCATTTGAAGTGGGAAGATCCACCTTCATTCTGGGCCACACCTTCTGGAGGGCAAGCTATATAAAGGACATGGAAGGATAAAGATTTTACTCTGCTTGCCTTAGCTCTTGCTGGCAAGTCCATTTCTTCACTGACATTAGTCTACTTCTGTGGGATTCATTCATATTGAAGACCAGTTGAGACATCC